CAGTGAGTGCTCTCATTTTTTCAGTTTTATTTATATATATATATATATATATATATATATCCAGGATAGGTAGATGACCAGCATTTACATACTTTTGAAGATAAAATATTATTCTTTATTGAAGGTTCATTAAAACAGGATGAACGTTTCAGTCCCTGTCCGGGACTTTCATCTTGATCCCGAGGAAAGTTCCGGACGGGGACATGGGCGTCCGCAGGAATTTCTCCGGGGGGGGGGGCATAATTGTAATGACATCCATGCTTGGCCCCTTTTTGACTGTGTCATGAAGGGGAGGAGCATAGTCATTATCACATAAAGCCAGGGTGAATAGTGTTTTCACAACTATGGTGTCTGGAATACATGTTTGTTTTCCTGACACTATAGTGTTCCTTTAATCAAATTAAAGGAGCATTCTGGTCATCATAACAACTGCATCTAAATGAAAATGCTATGATGCAAGGAGGCCCCTGGGCGCTCTCTTTCATTTAAGGGATGAAACCGCTCTCAAATTGTTTAACCTCAATGGCTTCCTCCAGCTCCAGATCTCCAGGTCACTCAGTGGTATTCGGCTTCTGAAACTGAGTTTCAAGAAGTGCAGATTATCAGCCTTTATTTCTTTATATGGTCATCTTCTGTCTGGAAACATAATAGCAATGTCCAGAATTAGCATAGCACTTATTTTCCGCATAAGAAGGCTGTTTGCGGTAGTCATTCAATGATAAACTATATGGCAAAGTCTTTTCTTGCATCACCTTCATAGGTGCACCCAAATCTTTAACAAGCATCTGTCCCGTCTTTTTCTGATTTCAGCATGCTTTGCCATCATTGTTGAGTCCATTATTAGGATTTGAAATAGTCCAATCACATCAGTCCAATCACATCACGTATAATCGGTTTTTGGAATGATCTTCAATAGGTTCCTTGTGAAATACCAGTGTAGGTCACATTAGCAATCATTTCACTGTGAGCTGTGTCTCTCATTTTGAGATGGTTCTTGGAGGTAGTCCTCACAATCATAGAACTTGTATTATGTGCAGTCCAATTCAGTTCAGGTGCTTCTTGCTTGTTAATATAATCCCAATGCAGTTTTAAAATGACAGCAGTCTTACGTGGCTATGATTTAGGTGGCTGTGTTCTGGAGGCATTTCTGTCGTCCTCTGTTTGTTTTATCTTGCCGTCTTTAACAGCATCCATTGTGTCAGTCAGTGGTTCTGTGAACATCTTGGAAGTATTTAGCAGGTTTTAAAATATAAAAACTTACTGTTATCTGTTGGCTCTGTTTGTTCTCCGTAGTAAAAGTTCTAAAACCTGTAATATATTGTCATTTGCCCATAACACAAGGTAGGTGAAGGAGTATCATCACTAGGCACCATTTTAAGCCTATTAGGCCTATAGAGAGCTCTGATACTCTGGGATTGCTCCAGTGTTGTGAGACAGATCTTTTTAGAATGATTGCCAATGTCTGTAGAAAGTTATTATGAGTGGATAGCTGGAAAAACATTGAGATCCAGGTCTCCAAAATTAGAATTAGCAAGTTGTAATCATAGAGTTCGCCTGACATGTATCTTTTCTTGATAATGGATGCTCTGTCCCCCCCAGTTGACGTGAGTTTTAATATCTCTCCAAGAGAATAACAGGAGATGTATGTACTATTTACCAACTAGTTTCCATGATAGATAGTAATTTTTACTGGCAACTATCTAACCAAAATTAAAGCCTGCTGCTGCGCTAGATGTAAAAAGAAAAATAAATCACATTTTATTCGATAGAGAAAAAATTTAAATACTAAAGCACAAAATCCTTACATCCTCTGAATGTCTATGTGTCTTCACAAGCCCCTCTTAGTGTATTATTGTCCCCTTCACCAGCCCCTATGTTTGTGTCATTGCACCCTTTCCAAAGGCCTTTTTGCATTTCTTTCTCTCTGCTCCCCTTGCATGCCTGCCAACTCCTCTGTGTAGTGCAGTACTGTGGGTGGAAGGTCTTCTACATCCTCTACCTGTTCTGACAGGATGCTGTTCATTACTCCCTGTTAAACTGGGTAGAGAATACAGAAGATCCTCTATGCGTGGTCAGTGCAGCCATGCTACAAGAAGTGACAGGCAGAAGGGGAAGCACTGTGTTGTGCCTGGATATTGCACCCTAAAGCCTCACCGGGGCATGAGGATTGGACAATAATTGGGCATCTGGTGTCAGTTTGTATGTCATTTAAGGACATGACAGACAGTTTGAGCCACAGTTTGGGACAGATCATCACTCTGTTCACCCAACTCATAAAAAAAAAAAAAAATGAGTTAGTCTTCCTGCTACTGCTGCCCCTTTTTTTCAAATGCCTTTTGTTGTTTTGTTTTTGCCAAGCCTGACTGAATCTTCCAGTGCCTGCTACCTCTGCAGATGCAGTTGGGAGAAGCTAAAAGGGCACTGTATTTTCCTAATTGAAGGACAGTCTCTGACACCAAAGACTAGATGTGTGGGAAAGCTTTGTTCTTCTTAGGGTGGAAGGAGTGAGTGAATTTTTGCTCTTTCATTTTTGTAAAGATTCCCTATTTTGAACTTGAAATCACTCCTGTCCCCCATTTTTCTCACTATTTTTTTTTCTCAATCCAGATATCCAATACTCTAATGTTGGCAACTCAGAATTTGCATTGCAAAAATGCTTGCATATTGCATAGCCATTCAGCCAGTACAGGCATAGGCACCATGCTTGTGTTACAATCCATTTTAAACCAACTGCTTATTGCTAAGGGGCATTTATGAGTCAGTAGAAAAGTTCCTTTAACTGTTGCAGGGTTATTCACTCAAGTGAGAATTCAAGTGTAGTGATGTCCCGAACGGTTCGCTGGCGAATAGTTCCTGGCGAACATCGCTTGTTCGAGTTCGCCACAAATGGCGAACATATGCGCTATTCGGTCCGCCCCCTATTCGTCATCATTGAGTAAACGTTGACCCTGTACCTCACAGTCAGCAGACACATTCCAGCCAATCAGCAGCAGACCCTCCCTCCCAGACCCTCCCACCTCCTGGACAGCATCCATTTTACATTCATTGTGAAGCTGCATTCTTAGTGAGAGGAGGGACAGTGTAGCTGCTGCTGATTTGATAGGGAAATTGATAGCTAGGCTAGTGTATTCAGTGTCCACTACAGTCCTGAAGGACTCATCTAATCTCTACTGTAAGGACAGCACCCCCAAAAAACCCTTTTTAGGGCTAGAACATCAGTCTGCTTTTTTTTTCTGTGTAATGTAATTGCAGTTGCCTGCCTGCCTGCCTGCCTGCCAGCCTGTGTGTCAGGCTCACAGCATATACTGTGCCCACTTGTCCAGTGCCACCACTCACTCACTGGTGTCACAATAGCTTGCATTTAAAAAAAACAAAACGTTTTTTGACTGTAATATAATAGCAGTCAGTTTCCTTCACTAGTGTGCATTTCAGGGCCTGCCCAGTGCCACCACTCACTCACTGGTGTCCCAATAGCTTGCATTAAAAAAAAAAAAAAAACTTTTTGGACTCTAATATAATAGCAGTCAGTTTCCTTCACGAGTGTGCGGTTCAGGGCCTGCTAGGGCACAGTGTCACACCAGTGCAACTCATATCTGGTGTAACAGTAGTGTACATTTAAAATAAAAAAAAAATTTTTTTTGACTGTAATAGATTGAATAGCAGTTAGTTGTCTGCAAGCGTGTGTGTCAGGCCTACAGCGTCTACTCTGCCAACTTCTGCCACTGCACAGTGCCACTCATATCTGTTGTCACAGTAGCTTGCACGCATAGTACCACTAATCGGAAAAAAAAATGACAGGCAGAGGCAGGCCACCCCGCAGGGGCCGTCGTGGTCATGGTGCTGTGATTCCCTTTGGGCCTAGAATAATGCCCAGTGTTCAGAGGCCACGTACCCTGAACTCGAAAAGTTCTGAGGACATAGTTGGCTGGCTAACACAGGACACCCAATCTTCTACAGCTTCCGCTCGGAACCTTGACGCACCATCCTCCTCCAGCTTAGGGCACCTCTCAAGTTACCACTCGCCCGCCTGCCGCCACCACCAACACTAGCACCACAGCAGCTTCACTTGGTATGTCAGAGGAGTTATTTACACATCAGTTGGAAGAAATGAGTGATGCGCAGCCATTATTGCCAGAGGATGTAGATAACAGGGATATGTCTCAGTCAGGCAGCATTACACACATGGACGTACGGTGTGATGATGATGATGTTGTACCCGCTGCTGCTTCCTTTGCTGAATTGTCAGATACAAGTGAAGCGGTTGATGATGACGATGCGTCCGTGGATGTCACGTGGGTGCCCGCTAGAAGAGAAGAAGAACAGGGGGAAAGTTCAGATGGGGAGACAGAGAGGAGGAGGAGGAGACGAGTTGGAAGCTGGGGGAGGTCGTCGCAAGGAGCTAGTGGCACAGTCAGACAGCATGCATCGGCACCCGGGGTCAGCCAGGCAGCACGCCAATCAATGCATGCTGTTGCCACCACCAGAATGCCGTCATTGCAGAGCTCAGAGTCTGAGGCGTTCAAAAAATTTGTAGCTATTGGGACACCGCAGTGGAAGGTACCCAGCCGAAATTTCTTTGCACAAAAGGCAATCCCCAACCTGTACTCGATTGTGCAAAAGGAAGTAATGGCATGTCTGGCACACAGTGTTGGGGCAAGGGTCCATCTGACCACTGATACCTGGTCTGCAAAGCATGGTCAGGGCAGGTATATCACCTACACTGCGCATTGGGTAAACCTGCTGACGGCTGCCAAGCATGGAATGCGTGGCTCTGCAGAGGAGTTGGTGACACCGCCACAACTTGCAGGCAGGCCTGCTGCCACCTCCTCTACTCCTCCTACTCCATCCTCTTCCATAACCTCCTCGGCTGAGTCCTCTTCTGCTGCTGCGTCTTGCTCCACATCAACGGCACCCCCCCAGCTCCCCAGGTACTATTCCACATCCCGGATACGGCAGTGTCACGCCGTCTTGGGGTTGACTTGCCTGAAAGCAGAGAGTCACACCGGACCAGCACTCCTGTCCCCCTGAACGCACAGGTGGATCAGTGGCTGACTCCGCACCAACTGGAGATCGGCAAAGTGGTTTGTGACAATGGAAGAAATTTGTTGGCGGCATTGCATTTGGGCAAGTTGACACATGTGCCGTGCATGGCACATGTGTGTAATCTGATCGTACAACGCTTTGTGCATAAGTACCCAGGCTTACAGGACATCCTGAAGCAGGCCAGGAAGGTGTGTGGCCATTTCAGGCGTTCCTACACGGCCATGGCGCACTTTTCAGATATCCAGCGGTGAAAAAACATGCCAGTGAGGCGCTTGATTTGCGACAGCCCGACACGTTGGAATTCAACACTCCTAATGTTCGACCGCCTGCTCCAACAAGAAAAAGCCGTTAATGAATATTTGTATGACCGGGGTGCTAGGACAGCCTCTGGGGAGCTGGGAATTTTTTTGCCACGTTACTGGACGCTCATGCGCAATGCCTGTAGGCTCATGCGTCCTTTTGAGGAGGTGACAAATTTAGTCAGTCGCACCGAAGGCACCATCAGCGACATCATACCATTTATTTTCTTCCTGGAGCGTGCCCTGCGAAGAGTGCTGGATCAGGCTGTAGATGAGCGTGAAGAGGAAGAGTTGTGGTCACCATCACCACCAGAACCAGCCTTATCAGCATTGCTTGCTGGACCTGCAGCAATGCTGGAAGAGGATTGTGAGGAAGAGGAGTCAGAGGAGGAATGTGGCTTTGAGGAGGAGGAGGAAGACCAACCACAACAGGCATCCCAGGGTGCTTGTTGTCACCTATCTGGTACCCGTGGTGTTGTACGTGGCTGGGGGGAAGAACATACCTTCAGTGAGATCACTGAAGACGAGGAACAGGACATGAGTAGCTCGGCATCCAACCTTGTGCAAATGGGGTCTTTCATGCTGTCGTGCCTGTTGAGGGACCCTCGTATAAAAAGGCTGAAGGAGAATGACCTGTACTGGGTGTCCACGCTACTAGACCCCCGGTATAAGCAGAAAGTGCCTGAAATGTTACCGAATTACGGCAAGTCGGAAAGGATGCAGCAGTTCCAAAATCAATTAAAAAGTATGCTTTACACAGCGTATAAGGGTGATGTCACAGCACAACGGGAATCTAACAGGGGAAGAGGTGTACGTAATCCTCCTCCTCCCACGACCACACCGGCAAGGACAGGACGCTTTACAGACGTGTTGTTGATGGAGGACATGTGGAGCTTTTTAAGTCCTATGCATCACCACAGCCCTTCGGGGTCCACCCTCAGAGAACGACTTGACCAACAGGTAGCAGACTACCTCGCCTTAACTGCAGATATCGACACTCTGAGGAGCGATGAACCCCTTGACTACTGGGTGTGCAGGCTTGACCTGTGGCCTGAGCTATCCCAATTTGCGATAGAACTTCTGGCCTTCCCCGCTTCAAGTGTCCTGTCAGAAAGGACCTTCAGTGCAGCAGGAGGTATTGTCACTGAGAAGAGAAGTTGCCTAGGTCAAAAAAGTCTAGATTACCTCACCTTTATTAAAATGAATGAGGGATGGATCCCGAAGGGACTGACAGTGGGCGATACATTCGACTAAAAAAGGCCTGATGAGGGGAACGTAACAGGGTGTTGCGGCTGCCGGCCCGCCGCATATTTAAATCCCTAGCTCACCCTAGTACCTTGCCCTGTCATGGTTTCCTGTTCCTGGTTTCCTGAGAGTGCTTTATCATTGTGAATCTGATTTCCTGGTATCCTGATCTTGGCTTTTCCCTGGTTATTCTGAATTCTGGTTTCCCTGACTGGGCTTGTGTAAACAGTATTGTGTATTTTCTGGCTTCCTTGACCTCGGCTTTCCCTTTGACCATTCTCTATCTCTAGCGTATTAGTCTGGCCATTCTAAGGGCCGGTTTACGCTCTGTCCTTTTATTTTCCTTTTCTTGCCTATGTATATGTTTACATAGTTTCTGCGTGCTGGACCACACTAGTAGTCGTGACATTGGGATTAAACTGATAAGAATAGTACTTTTTGGGGACCCTTGATGTTGTACGTGGCTGGGTGGAGGAAGAGACCTTCAATGACATCAGTGAGGACAAGGAACGGGACATGGCTAGCTTGGTATCCAACCTTGTGCAAATAGGGAGTTTGCGGTTGTGCAAATGGACTGTTTGAGGTGGTTTGCGGTGCGTTAAACGAGGAGTTTGGTCTGTCACTGTGAAGCGGGCGTAACCCTTACACTACCTGATCGATACAACATCATACCTGATGTTTTGAAGCACGTTATTCCAAACAATTTAGGAATGTTAGGTGATTTATGCCCTTTATGGATTAAAACCAGACTCTGCATCAACTATGTAATTTTCCATGGGAGTTTTGCCATGGATCCCCCACCGGCATGCCACAGTCCAGGTGTTAGTCCCCTTGAAACAACTTTTCCATCACTATTGTGGCCAGAAAGAGTCCCTGTGGGTTTTAAAATTCGCCTGCCTATTGAAGTCTATGGCAGTTCGCCCGGTTCGCCCGGTTCGCCCGTTCGCGAACATTTGCGGAAGTTCGTGTTCGCTGTTCGCGAACCGAAAATTTTATGTTCGCGACATCACTATTCAAGTGTAATTAAAAATGAATTTCAAATTTGGGGTTAAAGTAGTTGAACTGGAAGCATAATTGACCTAGAGGATATTCCACGTTTTGGCTCTTTTTACCTTAAATTTGAAATGCACTTCAAGTTCACTTTGAATTCTCCCTTAAGTGAATGACTCTGACAATCTCCAGTCTCCAATAGCCCAAGGGAAGATATTGACCTGGTTCTAACCCAGCTTTAAAGCTTATTACTTTCATAAGAATACCTCAGAGAAAATAATAGGATTTAATTCCAAAAAAATAATTAAATATTGCATAAACCTGCCATGGCTTCAGAATATCCTAGTGTTGGCATTTCCTAATAAAAATGGTTGCTATTTTAGGATTAACCCACACTACGAGACTCTAAAGTGAATGAAGATTTTACTAGGGTCCTCTATTGAAGCACCTTTGATAAAAATATAGGGTCAATATATAATCAACTATCTACAGAGAAATCAACGTTTCTCTCCATGCACCATATCTCAGGCAACAGACCTTTCCATTCTCATAGTTTATCAGTTCCATAATAATTTATTATTTAGTGCTGCTGTATAAATAAAAAAAAAATCTCGATGCCTATCATATTGTTTACCTATAAGAAGTTTCATATTTAGAATTCTGTGCATTAGATCTCCAGTGTTCACCTGGAGTTTATAATAAGAATTTTCTTTAGACACAGCACATGTTGTATATTTTTACTAGCAATGTTTTTCCCGTAGGTGTTTTTGTAGTGCATATGGCAGACAGATAAAAGGAAATCCATGCATATTGGTTATGCTTAAGCGAGGCATATATTCTATCCGCAATCTTTGAAAATGCATTCTCGCGGCTGGTGTTCTTTAAAAATGGCATGTGTAATGTGACAATGGTCATACAGAGAATAAGACAAAAAGTACTAAAGAGTTCACCAATAGGTCTCAGGCACATAATGGAAGTCTAATCATAATTTCAGTAACATCTTGCAAAATCTATAAATTGCTTTTTTTTCCCTTTTAACCCAATTTATAAGAAGTTTAATTTGTTGCTTATATTTTTACAATGAAAAATATTTTAACAAAAAACCCAAAATCAAACTTAAAGAATATGAAACATGAAGATATGAATATATTTTAGTATTTTATCTATAGTGCTCTTCTAAAATGCCAATTTATAGATTGTTACTATTTTGTAATTTCTACTTGCAGCTCTCATTTAAAATAGGTTTGGACAAAAATAATGTAAAAATAACGAATAAGTGCAACATATAAACAATCAATATACTTAATATCACTTGGTCTTGTTACTTAGGGCCATGTAAGGTCCACTTTAAAGAAATCAGAGACAGTGTCACAAAAATGAATTAAGACACTAAAATAACTGTATTGAAGTTGTATGGACTATGAGAGAATAAGTATATTAGTTGTTATAGGTTGTGCTTACTCATAATTTTATGTTGTAAATATGAACATTTTATGACACTTTGTCAGAGCATAAGTATTTTGTTTATTTTACCTGGAAGGGTCCCTATAGGCACCCAGACCACTTTATATTAATGATGTTGGGTAGGAGCCATGTTATTGCCTGTTTATCCCTGCGATATGTCAATCTGACAGCCACTAGAGGTGCTCCTTCCGAAATAGCTGAGAAAAACTTGCAGTAACTGAGTAAAACTTGAGTGTCAAACTCACAGTCCTGTGTTTTGACCCAATCATCAGTCTTGATCAGGTCTGCACAATCTGTGCACCCCCAAATGCTTTAACTACATCTCCCATGATTTCCTGGCTATCTGTTTCATTCAAAGAATCATGGGCGCTGTAGTTCAAAACATCTTGGGGGCAGCAGGTTGTGCAGGCCTGGTCTTGATGATCTAAGCCATGGAGGTATTGGCAGCCATAGAGCACTGTGGTGTGGGAGACAACGTAAGTAAATAACTTTTTTCCTTTGGATGGGTAGGAGGGTTCTTAAATTGCAAACATTGCACTATTGCATAACAAACACACTTTTGTATTCCTAACAATATAATGTTCCTTTAAGGACATTCGTCATTATTGTAATGCTTGGGGAGTGGGTAGGTTTCCTGATTATTACAGAAAATACTTTTCCAGGGTTTAACCGGTACCCTTAGTGTGAACTTTGTCAAATGAACTGTTTAGTTTGCCAGGAAATTCACCTTTGAAGCTGTACAAGCCAGTGCTGAGTACAACAAAATACACAGAAATTTAGAAGAAGAAGAAAACTATTGACACTTTTTGAAAATAAAAATAGTTTCTATTACTAAATTGTCCAGAAGAAACAGATGTCCCCTCACACTTGTACCTGCTCTGTACATGGCTTTCAATGGTTCTAGCTCAATGGGGAGAGATAACAGTGTCTTTATGAGAAATAAAGTGACATTGTGGAGTAAAGTTCTAAAAATAGAGCAAACATCAGGAATAATCTAAATTTTAGCTCCATAATAACCTTTCCCAATATAAGAATAGGCCTATAACTTGTGTTACTATATAATGTACTTTATTATGACATACGCTATACATTAAACCAATATATTTCAGCTATTTAACCCTGTTATAATATCACGTCTTTGCTAACACATTTTATTGCTGCATAGCG